AATATACATTTTGTTGTGTCATATATCTTATTTTTTCATAATTTTCAATTTTCCGTAATACAACCTGCACTGCCTGTGACAGCAGCCAGGAATACCATTCTGAGCATGGAAATGGCATCCTCCCTGGAGCTGGATCTCTTCCAGTCATGGCTTACGTACATTACATTACACACTCTTTTATCAATGGGAATAATGCAAAAATCCCTTCTAAATGCCGAATGAGTCTAATCATACTCCAAGAGGTTTGTGCATTTGTGGCAAGTCTTTTCCATCACCTTGGCATTCACTCATGACAACAAGTTCGTGTCACATTCCCTGGGACCAGATTTTTCCATGATGGGATGGTTATGTTACCTGGATCATTGGGGTTAAGTTTGCGAGATTTTTTTTCTCTCTTTCTTTCTTTCTTTCTTTCTTTTTTTTTTTTTTTTTTTCTTTCTAATACTACTGTTGTCATTGTTAATGTTGTTACTTATATTCACAGCATTTTTACTACAATGTTACAAATAGTACTGATAGTAATAAAATCTTCTCTTTATGAAGTTTGAAGGAATGCGGTTAGTAGGTGGGATCAGAAGGCCTAGTAATTTACCTCTGTTATTATTATAATAATTAGTGGACAGGGCATATACGTATTCCATCCTAGTGTCAACCCATTCATGAGGGTTGACATCCTATCACATCATGGTTAGTCTCTCTTACACTAGAATGATGTCCCAATCTCACACACAGTCGGGAATGCCCTAAATTGTGTGTACTAAACACTTGTTTGTTTATTTTGATCTGGGTTCCTTGGAGCACATAGTTAAATAGAAATCCAGCGAATAAGTTTATTTAAGTGGCAATACTCCCAGGTGTGAGGCTTATAGGCCAGCCAACTCACACATTTCTGTTTGATATCAAGACTCCTTGCCTTCTATTTGTATTGCTATTATCCCGTTTTATGCAGATACATTTTCTGAGGACATTATATGTCATTTTTTACAAAGTATGATGTAGTTGATAGCCAATTTTTGTTGAGCAGACTCTGTATTGTCAGATTCACAACTCAATCTGAAAACAAAAATATACAGTATAAAACAGATGTAATCCAAAGATTGCGGTTCATGAAAAGATTTGCAGAGAAACCTTGTTTAATCAGGATTTTTTCCAGGTAAATAAATGTTTAGAAAGATTGACTTAAAAAACAATCAGTCTAGTTTATTTTTCTAACAGAAAAAAAACAGCAGTATCAAAGTCTTCACAGTTCAAAAAATCACAATGTTACTACTCATTGAAATGAAGTAAGCCCCATAAAGATCATTCAAGAGCCAACAGTTATTTCAAAGAATGTCCAATAAGCTATTGTTTTAAGATAGTTTACCAAAAAGAGACTGCGGTTCTTTTTCTCGGTTTGCCTCACCGAGCTACACTTTTCGTAGATATATCTGTGTTCACTTCCTTCCTCTCCTGATACATTTTACTCTACATTGATGTATCATGTAGAGTTATTGTAACAATAGAATATTAGAATGGTAAGTTTAAATATAAGTATTATGATATATCATGCAAACCAAAAAACATCTCAAAATTATCCTTGAATCACAAATGTATAAAAGAATAGCAGATTGCCTCAGTGCAACTGTAAAGAAGAAAGTTTGTGTGATCCTTGCCCTTATATAGGTTTAAGGAGTGTTGCAACATAGTAAGATGCCAAAAGGTGCCATATTTTTAATTTTAGAGCATTTGTTCATTGAATTATGGATCAATATTAGGTAGAAATGCTTTGTTTATGTGAGAGCCTTGCATATTGATCCACAAATACTTTTTTCACAAAATTCTGCCCGTGGTTCCCTTAACCTATGGACTGCTCCTGGATGTACAATAAATACCAGAAAATCAACTTTCTAGAAAACAGTTTTTATTGATATAAAATGTAGGAGGTATATGTAGAGCTCCAGTTGATGGGGGGGGGGATCTTGTACTGCATCACATATTCATGTGGGGGAAGGGGGACGACCAGAAGGCCAGTGACATGGGGAGTCGAAAGCATGGTTGGAAGGGTGTCAGCAAGAGAGGAATGAAATTGCCACTTGAGGGTCATGGGATTTTAGCCTGGCTTGTTTAGAATATTTTATATGCAGTTCAAAATATATCATTTTAAGATGTCTGGCACAGTTTTTGGGTTAAAGCCTCATATTAGCTTTATTACCTTAAACACTGGTTCCCAAACTTGTCCAGGTTGGTGCCCCCTAGACTCAGGTTATTTCTAGTATGTACGCCCCACTTCCGCTCATACACACTATGTCCTCTTGTGGTGCATCGGTAGTGTTCTCATCTAGCACTCTTGTTGATTGGTGTTCAAAATCTGCATTGCCTGTGGATGGTAACCCTATCCATTCCATGCATACAGGGGGTTTAGGAGCACAGTAAACAGACAGCCATAATTTGATAAGTCAAAAGAACCTGTCACTCCAAACCTGAAATTATTATCATTATTGGATGCAAACACTTCCTTTTTCTTTTTTTCTATCTTTTTCTTTTTTTGAATGCTTCTTATTAAAAAAAGAAGTAATAATAAAAACATTAACATAATGTGCCATAATGTTTATGACATTTTGTCATTCAGATTTATCACCTGTTGCCCCTTATGGCCTCCTTTTGCCTCACCACCCACTTTGGGAATAAACGACTTAAACAATCAGTGACCCGTTGGATCTGGTTGCATCACGGCAATCACATGGACAAAAATACGGGCAAAGGATTATGTAAGTGGCAAATATCCTGGGTGTACTGGGTGCGTATGCTCGGCGCGCACAAACACTCGTGAGCGGTGACTAGACTGTGCTTCCCTTTGCAGAGTTATTTTGCATAAACCTTTTTAGCAGTTTTGCCATATTCTAAATCCATGTTTGTCTTTTGACTTGCTTTATCCAGACGGTAATAGATAATTTTCCTTGCACAGACTCCTTATTTCTCTATGTAGTAAGTAACTCCATAAAAAAAAATAATAATAATAATAGGAATACAATGCGCAGCATGGTAATGGCGTCCTCCCAGTCATGGCTTACACACAATACATTCCACACTCCTTTATTGATGGGAATAATGCAAAAGCCCTTTTCTAAATGCCAAATGAGTCAAATCATACTCCAAGAGGTCTCTGCACTTGTACAGAGTCTCTTCCGTCACCCTGACCTTTGCTCATGGCAGCAAGTTTGTGTCACCCAGCCCACGGCCATTTTGTCCGATGACTGCATTCAACCCAGACTTTTCCATGATGGGATAGTCACATCACCTGGATCATTGGGGTTAATGCCACAGCCAAGAGCATTGAGAGCTGTGCTTCTATTTTTCCCTTGGGCAGTATGTATGGCATCATGAGATCCCATTGTAAGTGGGTTAATATCTATAGCATATTTTTATGTTATAAAAATTGCACTAACAGCAGTTACTTAATCACAAAGCTAAAAAAGGGTTTGAAATTTTAAGTGATTTGGGTTAGTACTTATAATCTATTATTTTCAGCTTATCTCTGTCATTGCCACAATTCTGGAGAGGAATCCTGAGCTCAAGTTCACACATGCAGTGGATTTGGACCAGATAGTTAGAGATGCTTTCAAGATGTACATGAAGGTAAGATAGTAAAGAGTGGATGTTGTTGATTATCAGTCTGTGTATAATTTTTGTTGATATTATAGTTGCTGTTGATTTTAATGGTTTGTTTTTATTATTATCATAATTATTGGTTTTATTTCTTATACTTATCACTGATCACTCTCTTGAGAGCTTATGGATTTTACTTAGGATATGGTTGGAATGCAACCTCTGGCTTTTTGTTAAATAATACTATATAGATTTTAGGCTCATTTTGCAATTTACATAAATCAGACATGCTTTTACTTTTTTCTCAAATTTCAAAAGTAGTTTTTACATGTCCATATGCATGGTGCAAATTGTGACAAGGACACAAGCACATGAGGCTGTTAACCCACTAATGCCGGTATATTTTGAAGCCAAAAATAATATTTTCCGGGCGGCTACAAAATCAGCGCGCAGGGTTGGTCCGGAATCTGCCCGTGTGCCATATTCAGAGCGTGAGCTCCGATCCAACGTCACACTGGCAGGACGCCCGGCAATATTTATTTTTCCGTGTGTCTCATATATAGGACACCCTTCGTAAATTGATTAACTGCGTGTCATGTTTTTTATTTTTATTTTTAGAAGTGTACTGTATTTGGCAGCATATAAGATACACCATCCATTTCAGTAGGAAAAATAAGTATTTAGTTTATAGTGTCCATACTCTGGTATGCACTCAGCATATGACCTAGCACCTGATCTTAATTGTCTGCCCAGAAATTCTGAATGCTCCCAGATACTGGACACACTCACTACATACAAACCTACCCTCACCTCCTGTTTTGTAAAACATCAATTTTTCACAGGAGTAATGCTGCCAGGAATGATGATAATTATACAATAACATCATTTAAGTAAATTATATCAATATGGTGTCAGACTAGGTAATACTAACCATCTTGGGAAAATTAGTATCAGGGATAACATTAGCTAGCTGGAGGCCCCACCTTTACATCTAGGTCCCTGTGTGATATATATTTTTGCCATTTTCTTAGAAAAATGCATTTTGTATGTTGCCAGATACAGTATATTCAATCTAAGGACTCTAACATCTTCAGTACCTTTGCTTAAATAGAAAAACAAAAAAAGGAAGAGGTTGGAGTTTTTTAATTATAATTTAGGTTTTAATATTTCAGTTAAATTGTAATACTATGAAAAATTAATGTTAACCAACAGGTTTTCCAGCTTGAATGCCCTACATGTAAGGCCTTTCTTTCTAGGATCTTGGCAAGGAAGTGACAGAGGACATTTCTTATCTTTACACTGTATCTGAAATGGGAATGAAGAGCTACCTTGCACGTGCTGTAGTGAACTTCATGCTGAAAGGAGATATAAAAACTAATGCTGAAGAAGGTCAGACCTTCTGTCAGGTATCTTAGAGGTGGCTGGCATTGCCATGTTTTTTTTTTTTTTTTTTTTTTTTTGTTTTTTTTAATATTTTTGTTCTTTTTGTTTTTTGCTTGTTTTTTTTTTTTTTTTTTTTTTTTTGAGTTTTTGCAATATGGATTGTGGTTGGCCCTTCATTTTTTTTGTTGTATTAACAAATGTTTATATATGTTGATTTAATTGGATCATTCATTTATGTGTATACAGTATTATTATTGAGTTGTAAATGCTGCAGTATTTTAATCAAAAGTCAATATTGTTTTATCCTTTTTTGTATAAATTTATATACAGAGAAGTAACATTATTTTTTTCCTGGTGGTGCTGCTTTCTTTGTCAGTATATTGCAGAAATTATTCAATATTTGTTTTTTCATTAAAGCTGCACAAATGTATAGAAAAGATATTGCAGAATATGCAAGAAGCCTGTCATAGTATATATATTAGAGATTGCTTACATGAAATTACCTTTCATGGTTTACAAATGGCAATTTATCATGCTATTCTTAAGCAGAATTCAGAGCTAAAGATAGAAAAACTAATGACCTAATTTAAAAGTTTTAAAGCCATACAGGTCATTGTGTTTACTGATGCAAATTGTGTTATAAACATATCTAGTCATTTCCATTTTTATGTATATAGATATTCCTTAAATGAAGTATTTAGATGATTGATATTGTTATAAATATTTCCAATAATAAAGGACTGTTGCAGTTATCTTTCCAAGAATATTTCAAGTTCTGTATGCTTTTATGTTCCCCATTCATTTTAATGAAGTACGTCTTTGAATGTTGTTAGAAGAATTAACAATATCTTAATATTTGATGATAATTTGTGATTGTAATTTTCTAATTCTCCCTTTAGGCTGTAAATTGGTAATTTTTGTCATTGTTTACAATATGCAGTCAGATTATAGTGAAGTGATGATACTCAGATTTTTGTTGACAGTTTTTATATGGTTCATGTAAACTTTCATTAATTGAAATCAGTGAAATAAATTGTGGATGATACATATTGATTATATTATTTGTGATATAATCATGTGAAGGTTGACATAGAGAACCTATGATAATTACTTTAATCCCTCAATAAAACTGTCCAGTTACAGTTGTGTTTACTGTCCTGTCAAGTTCTGATGCATAGATGGTGTGCATGTTTATACATTTGTTTTTCTCATACATAGTAAGAATTGAATTATCTTGTTCTAGAGTATATGTCTACTCACCCTATCCCCCAGACAAATCCATTTTCCATTCCAAATCCAGATACTCCAATCTCCACCACTTCCCCGATACCTACCCCTCCTCCTCACTTTATTTGTCGTACCAGGCAACCTAAACATTCCACTCCACCCTCTCCTACATCTTCCTCTTCATCTGTTCCTCAGATATCTATTTCTTCTCCTTCTCATAAGAGAACATTTGTTTCTCCATCTTCTTCACCCAACTCCCCTCCAGAAACCCTTGAAGACATCCAAACCTTCCTAAAGAAGACCCATAGAGAACACTCCGCTCCATCAACCACCCCCCCAATCCCTTTGTTCCTACTCCTCCTACATTTGAACTGTTTGCAGATATCCATCTTCATCCTCAAATTTCTCTACCTCCATTCCTCCTACACCCTTCCAACATACCCCACCCTCTCTAACACTCCCACTTGAATACCCACAAATTCCCTCTATCACAACAGTGTCCTTCTCCAAACCCCTCTACTGATACTTCACCACCTTCCCCAATCCCTCTTTCTCATCCCCTGGATTCTTCTCCTCCTACTTCTCCAACAATGACCTCTGTTTTCCTTGAACAATGTCTGTATTTCTTCCTGAGTCACAGATACACTGCAATTCACTCAGTTGCTCTACCCTCTCATATTCCCCCCTACCCCTTCCCAATATACCTCATCCTCTTAACCATCCAAACCACCCAAACCTCCTTAACCTTTTCCATTTTACTAATCTCTGCTCTAAATCATTTACTTCCCTTCTTTCCTTTCCTTTTCCATTACCATACCTTCCCCTCTCCCCAGATTCTTCTCCTACCTTACCAACAACCCACCTCTATTTTTCCTTGAACATTTTTCTATACCTTCCCCAGTGACTGATACACTATAATTCACTCAGTTGCCCTACCTCCTTAACTCTCTCCTTTCTGCTAATTTCTGCTCTAGTTCATTTGCTCCGTTTTTTCCCTTTTCACTAATACTATCCTATAATGCTCTGAAACCTTTGACATCTAACACATTTTATTGTAATCTTTGCCCTTTTTGACACAATACTATACTATAGTGCTCTATGACCTTTGATGTCTGGCACATATTTGTTTCAAACATTAAACATTGTTCTAGAGTATGATTTTTATATACACACATATATACATGTTATTTTGAATGGTCTAAAAAAATCCAGCATTAACCCATTGGATCTGGGTGACATGGAATTTGTCATCATGGAAAAATTTGGTTGAGGGCTGGGGTGACGAGAATATGTAGTGAGATATTGTCACCAAGTGCCAGGTGAAGGGGGGTTGTTACTGAGTCCTTAAAACTCTTGGAGGGATATCAGCCACTGGGTTTTTAGGAAGAAGCTCTTGTATTATTTCCACTGTAAATGATAGTGGAATGTACCCTCTGTGAACCATGCCTGGAAGAGCTCCAGTTAGGACACTATTTCCATGCACAGGAATCTCATCCCAGCTTTCTTGACCAGCATTGCAGGGTATGTTGTGAAAAATTGAATATTACAAAAAATAAGTAAATAAATAATAATAATAATAAAAAGATTATTGTTATTATTGTTATCGAGTTGTTGAATAGCAGGAGAGATAGGGAATCCGCTTAACATAAACAGTCAGTTACCATCTTAATATAGCGTAACAAATGGCAAATATAATATTTTAAAAATGACAAGAGAGTATGCAGAATAAGAGCTAATACCATAGCAAAGAGGAGGCAAGAAGTCTTGATGCTGTGTATAAGTGTTTGTGTGGGCTAGACCTACAAGATAGCTGTGAGAGACCAATAAAGTTACCCAGATGCCCATATTTTGGTTATTACACAACTGAAAAAATTAAAATGTACGAGTTTCAGAATTTAGCCCCCAATCGTGGTTGGGGAGTCATCCAATTGTAACTACAATCGGCAATTTTCTAGGCTTTGTGGTTTTCTATGATAATTATCTGCAACACAGCTCTATAAAAATACTCAATTCAGCTATATTTTTATTTAATGGTGTAATATATTTTCAAGATTTATCTCATATTTTCTTCTTACAGCAGGTGTGGAATTAAAATGCAAAGATATGATAATGTGTTTTATTTCAAGTATCATTCTTTGCTGTTCAACATAAATTTTTACAAGTGGTGGAACGCATTGGAATGTCTTTGTCCCTTTCTCTTTTTTCCTAATATGCACAAATATTGTCTTCCTTCATCAATAAACTTATAAATTAACACTCAATATCAAAGTTTCTATTGGTACTTTCAGATTGCTTTTACTAGCACAGACTGAGAACAAGTTAGCCATGAACCTAATTTCTTTATCCATAAAAAGACATTTGGCCCTACACTTAATTCCAAATTGTAGGAGCAAATTTCTTTCCAAGATATGACAAGTAAATTGTAAGTATGGAAATACTGAGTATTTAATAAACTCTATACTAAGTGATGGGTGCCTGTAGATCTAGAATGCTTGCAAATTACAGCTTTAAAAGTGATTGGATAATAAACGATAAAGCCACATACATACAGGAGCTATCTGTTGTGCAAGCTTTATATATATTTGGTTTCTATTTAATATCGCAAGCATTTATGTATTATAATATACTGAACTATATATATGTTATATATATATAATAATTAGTAATACTCACTATAAATACTGCATGTATACCAAGTTCTGCTCAAAAACAAATCTGGTACTGATATATTGTATAATGACTTTAATATAATATTTACCAGAATAAATAAATATATTATATTACTCTTCTAATAAAATATATATAGTGAAGTGATAAAAATATCATACTCAATTTTCAAAAATACTAAATATTATACTCATTAATATAATAGTTTTAAAATATACTTTAGTGATGTGAAGACAAAATATAATACCCAATACTAATTAAACATATATACCTAGTATATAGTGATCTTTTAATATAGAATATTATTGATAGTCACTCTGGAAATATATTGTATTATTAAAAATATTTATAGTATTTATCATATATATATTAAATAAAAATAAAATAATATCAAGTATATATACCTAAATTACCTTAAATAGTACAATATATATTTATTATATATATAAATTAACATAGATATTATATAAGCAAAGGTTATAAGGTAAATAATAAATGAGTGTAAAACAATAATATATTTATATTAACTATTATATATATATATACTAAAAGTACATAAAATATTACTCACCTATAAATAAATATAGTGATATAATTGCAACCTTGTGTATTATGATATTCAATCCTCTATTCTATGTATAGTATTTAATAATGTAAAAGATCACACATATGTGATGATGGAATAAAAAGTAAAATATATATATATTATATATATATAATTTGAATATATAGTAAAATAATAGAAGTGTTATTATTTAATATTATTATTATAATAACATAGTAATATATATATTAAAAGTTAAAAATATTAGTTAAAGTTATACGAAATAATAACTTAATATATATGTTAATATACATATAATAGTAATGCTAATTATGAGTATATTACTATTTTATATAGTCATATTTAATGCATATGATCATATAACTATAATTGTACATATTAACTATTAGATGTATACCTTGTTATGTGTTATGCATATGTGGAGTGTGTATAATATGGCATCTGTAACACACAGCCACACACTCATGCATGACGCACATATCATATAATATCCCGCACATAATATTACATCAACACTATAGAACAAATACAACACTAATAACATACTATAGCTATATTAGTATACATACTATA